CCCCCCCCCCCGCGCTAATAGGGAGTGTGTACAGTTGATCATAGTTCCTGGGCTCCCTGTGGTAGAATCTTATCAAATTTCAGGCTTAGTGATCATTGTTGAACTGGGGAGAAGGAGAAAACCAAAACTTCCAGCAGCAGAAAGAGTCTGTAAAAAATATGATCAAGGTGATATTGAAGATGAAAAACATTTTCTTTTGAGCTGCTCACATTTTGAAGATGAAAGAAAAATCCTCCTGAAAAACTGCAAAATTACCTCAAATGAAAAGAACAAAGACATAATGTTCTTAAAAATTATGAAAAATAACATTGCTCTGTCTCTATATTTTAAAAATACCATATACAAAGCACTGCCTGTGTAAACCCCTGGGTAGGGAGAGCCTTTACTTTGATTTACTTACTGTATTTTTATTATTTTTTTGTAGTGTATATAGAACTTTTAAATATGTAGTTATTTTTAGTTGCCTTATTTTACACTGTTTACCTTACTGTATACACAGCAGATTACAGTTGCGTAATAAACTATTATTATTGTTATTATTAATTTTTTAAATTAAAAATTTGGAAAAAGTAATCTTCATTGATATCGTGTATATATTAAAATGTTAACGTTATGTTTATAGAATGTAACATAATAATTAAACAGGATAGAATAAACAATTTTATAAACATATGCAACAACAGTTTTCCTCTAGTTAAATACCTAAAACAAACAATATACAAAAACAATGATTGCGTTAATCCCATATTTTGCTTCCCGGACTCCAATTATTGAAGAGGGACCCAGTTTTTCAGGTAAGTTGGGGTCCAATCTCTAATAAAGTTATCCAGGGTCAAATTTCAATTTCTTAAAATTTTGTAAGTGAAACTCGTCTTGCTGAAACACTAGCACAAACCCTGCAAAAAGTAACGTTTTTGTTTTTTGTAATCTTTTTTTTTTATAGTATTATTATAGTATTTTTCTCTTTATTGTTGTATTTTTCTTACCATACATTATCCACAGATGGTAATTGTTAAGTAATAAAGTTATTATGATTATTATTAAAAGAAAAAAAAAAGAAAAAAATTGGTAATTGTTGAGTAATAAAGTTATTAATATTATTTGCTTTTTTATTGTTACTACCTTATACAAAAATATGTTTGGATATTTAGAGTAGTAACAAATCCACACTACCGTTCTGGTTAGACTTAAAATACACCACGAATATTCACTTTTGAGATATAATTTTTGGTATGTGTTTTGTTCTTGGATATTGTATATGTATTGTTCTTTGATATTATATATGGTGTATATGTACTTTGGGTAGACCTCTCTTACATTTGTTCTTTTCATGATGCTATCTTCAATTCTCTAATTTTGGTGAATAATTTTGTCATTTTTGGTAAATAGTGATAATTTCTTATTGAAAACAGCAAGTCCGATTGCTTTACATATAGAGTAGTACCTCACGTAGACCTCTCTTAGATTTG